CAGTAATCTAACTAACTAACTCTAACTAATCTAACTAAGTGTATTTCCCACAATGTCTAGCTATTCCTTAAATTGGCTGCTTATTCAACTTCAACACTGTTTTGATACTATTTTTTTATTTACTTGAATTTCCCTCGGGATAAATAAAGTATCTATCTATCTATCTATCTATCTATCTATCTATCTATCTATCTATCTATCTATCTATCTATCTGATACTGATTGAAATGTGTTTGTAGCACTGAAAACTGACATTGAATTGTCAGATTTGTAATCTTCTCTTCTTCTCTTTGATTAAATCTTTGATCAGCTATTTAATGATTTAAATAGAATATTTTCAGACTACTGCTTAGGTTTCCGTTTATACACATAACATTTGAGAAAGTGGCGAGTTAAAGTTAAGTTAAACAGCACTAGTATAGACACATTTCAAAGGATACCCTGGCACTTAATCACAGTAAAATCTAGTATCAACGTAAAATGAAACCATAAAGAACAAAATTTTACTTTGAAAAAGCAATAATGCTGTTTGGCTGTCAATGTACAAATGGTAGTGGAGTTCGTACTGATGTGTTTTGAGTCTTTTAATGCTGTTATTATCTCCATGTTAGATCACATCTAAAGGAAACAGCAAGCCATCAGAGAGCAGGTTTCCTTCGGTTCGGTCTGAGAACATGAAGAGAAAGATCAGTGAGTATCATTCAGCATCAGTTCTACTGGGTTTTTTTTAGCATTTCACAACTAAACAAAGAAGCACTTTTTGCTGTAGCCCTCTGAATATGGTTTTAATTCGTTTATTTAGTTGAAAGCAAACAAGTAAGGAAAATCTTTAATGTTTGGACAAAAGCATCTGCACTAATAATGTCATGTAATATTGTTTTCTGAGGACTAACTCTGCTGCACAGCTGTGATGGTATAAATAGTATGAATATTTAAGTTCTTATTATCCAATGAGTGCTTTAAAACAACAGTTAAGAAAATAATAGTGGGGGCAGAGAAAACTCTAAAAGTTGATCAAATTCCCCTGAAATCAGAATTAACTGCCAAAGGACAAAAGCACATAACATTAAAGTACAGAGAGTTATCATGCTTGCCAGGGAAGCTGCATAGTTCTCAAGTTTTGATGTCATAAAGATGCACAGTGCATGATTGGAAAAGATGTCAGTCACATGAGTAAAAAGCTACTTTGCAGGAAGTCATGTAACCTATCAAACCCATTAATGACAATTTTCTTTAAATCAATAAAAGCCTTTCTATAGCTGTGTCATAAGTCACATCCAGTCTCTTAAGTCAATCTGCATCTTTATAGTGCATTAACGTAATAAGAACTAAATGAACATTGGTTATTTTCTGGCATATTGATTCGCATAAAGCGTCATACAGCAAGAACTATACATTTTCCAAGTGATTGTAACCACCTAGATGTCTGAGCAGTAATCTCAGAGTGTGTTTAAACTTGTGCAGATAGTTCTTTCTTGCCTTTATTCTTCCTCTCTGTCACTCTCCAGCTGACTTTGAGTTGGCTCAGCTGCAGGAGAAACTGAGGGAAACAGAGTTGGTGATGGAGAATATTGTTTCCAACGCTCACCACAGTCCTGACAGGTGGGTGTGTGCCTTTTATCATCTCATCGGTCAGCCTCCTCCCTCTCTTTGTCCCGGCAGGAATCACTTCTTTTATTGAGCTCATTTATTTATTTGTTAATTTAATTAGATGTGTGCATCTCTTCCACAGCAAAGTTAAAGACAAACAAGACACTCCTATAAAGAGCTAATTTCCTTTCCTCCTAATGATCTCTTATTACTCTGTGGGTAACACGTCCATGTGTTATCTTCAATGACTGGGCAGTGCTTTAAAAATCTTATTAAGCCTTGGACGAATTACATGACTTTCAAAGTTGTCTGATCTCTGTACTGTTCACACTACACAAGTAACTGTCTTGTAATTGGGAGTCTTGAGGTTTTTGTGTTTTTTTTACACTGCATGACTACAGGGTTAAAATCAAAAACACAAAACATAAAGCAGGGCTTAAGTCACGTAGTGGGAACTAAAGAAAATTCAAACTGATCAGGACCCAAACTGCCAAAAATGTACTAAAGTTTAGATTTAAAAATGAAGCATCTTGTTTGTTTCGGGCAGAGTCAGAAATTAAACACACCATCAACTGATCAGCATATTCGTAATGTAAAGAAGTATGTGGGATAAATGTGTACATTTAAGTACACAACATTAGTTATTCAAGAAATGAAACTGCTCCCAAGTTTAGGAATGGAAGATGTTCGGGATTGTTTAGGTTTCTGTCTGTGTTGCAGGGTGAAGGGGGTGACGGCGGATCAGGAGGAGAGTCTCCTGCAGCAGCTGACAGAGATAACGCGGGTGATGCAGGAAGGGCAGCTGGTGGACAACATGGCTCCAGAGAAGAAGACAGAGGACGACTGGGAAGGTTCGTGAACTCTGCACGCTGCAAAAATTACACTTTAGGATTCTATTTTTAATATACTCTCCCAACCTGCAGAGCATCATGCAAGACATTTTAATCAATAACACAAATCTCCTTTTTAGAATAATGTTCCGTCTGCTAACCAGCCAGCATTTCCCTTCATCTTAGGCTTTTCAGATCGCCTGTGTTCGCTTTATGTTTTGTCTTTTTGGTTTGATTTTTCATGTTCAATGCCAAAGAGATCTCAACATTTAGCTGTACCAGCAGGGAATAAAATAATGTAACTTTATACAAACAATAAGAGCAACATGATCAGGGATGGAAACTGTAGTATCAGGACTCCAGGTGCAGTATTAGCAGACAGCCGGGACAAATATTGATTGATCTATGCTTATTAGTTGTAATTGTAAATTCCCTGTTTGAATCTGGGGGTTGATTTTTACATACACATCCACCCAGGTAGATAAGTCAGGCATGGAAATGTTAATCAATTAACAAATCATTACATTTCCTCATAGTGCCCACAGGTTATCCTGAGGAGCCTCAGCAGTACTGGGAACCTTCCCACTGTTGTTGTCAGCACAGTCATCAGCACCACAGTCCACAGACGGAGGCCGAGAGGACACAAACTGATGCTGCTGACCTGGAAAACATCCCTGATGATGTAACAGGAGGAGGAGAGGCTGAGGAAACGGAGGCTCTGAATGAAGACGCTGTGAGAGAATGTGATGTTACAGCAGTAAGTGAAGAGGACGTGGGGCCAGAGAGTGATTCAGGCGTGAATGAGATCGTACGCAAACACAAAGACGGAGGGGGTCAAATCGATCTGGGTGTCCCAGAGGAGGACCTGGCTGGAGTCCTGAAGGAGCTGGAGCTCTCGCTGAAGATGACCTCCATGATGGAACAGGAGAAGATGGAGGACCTCAGCAGGTCGGCTGTGACAGAAACTTCCTGCGGCGCGGTCAGACGAAGGAATAAGAGGAGGAGAGCAAAGAAAGCATCACAGTGACTTCCACCATGCCTGCACATAAACTCAAGCCTGGGCCTGCTGTTTGTGAGGACAGCTTCTTTTTTTAAATCTGTTCAGATGAAAGTTGGTGAATGCATGAAATCGTGTCAACAGCCTTCTTTATCTTTACTTGAAATGAATACGAGAGAAAATGTGTGTTAAGGGCATAGTTTTATATCACTAATCAGTTTGATCACCAATCTCTGAACCCATTGGCTATCGGCAACGGCAACGGCCAGTGTTTCGGAGCTTCCAGCGGATATCTCGATAATGGATACCCGGGCCAAGACTTTTTATGCACCAGTCATCGTTTACAGTCCAATTAGCAAGTCCATTTGGTATAATAGAAATATAAGCTCTATGAACAGATATTTACATATGAATGCAGATGAATAAATAAAAAGCTAATAAAAAGCTTTGTCAGACGATCGCTGAAGGGTTCCGAGATTGCATTTCGAACAATGGTTTTTCGCTTCTTTTGCTCTCCGGAACACGGACTGTTTACCTGTATGAGAGCAAATCCCGCTCAAACGTGATTGGTCAATACTACTCAAACGGAAACCAGAATGCTTCCACTACCACAGCCTTGCCCCTTGCCTACAGATTCTGCATTAAGAAAGAGGTTTCCTCTTAACTGAAACTTACTTCTGTTTATAGACATATTTCAATATTTATACCAGTCTGCTTCATGTATAAATTCATCACTTTTTAAACAATTTAATTTAAACCAACATGGAGATGCTTCCAGGACTCTAGGTCAAGATTTGATGTAAAAATGTACTCAAAGGGTAGACGCCCTGTCTGTGAACAAACCCAGTATTTAATTCTGTCTGATGAATGTTGATTATTTATCATATTTATTCTGTTAAGGCCTTTTTCTCTGCCTCTTTTCCTATAAAATCATTAAGTTTTTTAATGATTTTAATTCATATAAATAAGTTAAAGAACGACTGCATTTGGCCACTTCAAAACAAACACCAGAAATAAGTGAATGATACGACGTGGGCAGAGGTCCTGCAGTTGATGGATGCAAGATCTGTTTAAATTTTTATCACATTACTTACAACACTGTAATTTACTGGGGTGTTCGGGCCTTTTCTCACCTTTGTGTGTGTTAAAACTGCCTGTGGTCTGTCAGATCAATTGTTTGTTTTTTTTCTTTTCAAGACGAGGACCCCGACATCCACTGAACACCCTCAGTGTGAAGACATACAATAAATGCACTGTACTAAATTAAAGGGGACAAGTCCTGTTAGACATAAATAGTTAACCTGTCTTCTCACATTTGTGATGGAGAAATCTGTACCAGTAATGTTTCAGGCTTTGTAACAAACCTGCTGTCTTGTGCTATTCACTGTTCAGACCTGGGTTTTATTAAAACAAATACATTTTTCTGGCTTCTCAAGTTTGATTCATTTTATTCTAAATTGTCATATCAGTTTTGTATAGAAGCAGCAGCTCAGACTCCTGGACCGTTTTGTTGCTGCATTGTTGCTCAAGACAGCTGAATGTGTATTCGTAGGCAACCAGTGTAAAGAAGGATGGCAGCACAATTCAAAAAAAGAGTTTATTACTTGTATAATGGTACTTTACTCATACAAAAGCAACATCACATTGGTTGATGTTAGCATAGAATATTTTGGATTAACAGTTTTGCAAGTGGCACATCACAACAACAACTTTCCCCTACACAAGTTACTCTGGTGAGTTGCAGTATCAGGTTGGTCTGGGTTTGTGCCGGCCCTCTTTCATAACAGGAAGTTAACTGACACGACCACCTCAGTGCTCCATTGGCTCACCAGTTCCTGGTCCGGCAGCAGGTTCATCTGCAGGCTGGGCAACCTGAGACACCAACAGAAGCGTGATTTAGCATACAGACTTCAGGGTTTGAACACTGATATTGGTATTCAATAAAAACATCAATACAGAACATCTGAGGTGCATCACTAAATTTCACTTTCAAGCAAAACTGAAATCTTGTTTTTCCACACATGCACTCAAAATATTTACCGTGGCCCCAAAATGGGAGTATATTTTAATAGTATGCCACTGGTTAATGTACTGGAGGACTAAAGTGAGAGCTGGAAATACATCTTACCAAGAAGCCAATTATCCAACTTGGCCCAAATGCAAATTAACCAACAGTGTTCAGAAGATACTGAGTTCTAGTTTGGACTAAAACCAATCCTCAAATCAATCATGCTGTGCAGCACAACAACAACAACAACAACAATAAATAGATTTGATAAATCCTTGCCTTTCTCTGCGGCCTCTCCTCCAGTCCCTCCAGGAATGGGGCAACATCATCATCGTCATAAATGGTGAACTCCATGTCTTTTCCCACAATGCCAATGGAAACATTCTGAAAGAATTAGAAATATTCCTAAGAAATGGCCTGTAAACTATATACTTAAAAAGGAAGATTGTGACATCCTCAATGCCAAGTAAGGTTGGGCTTTGCATCAATATTAAAAATTCTTGGAAAATTACATAATGGCTATTTGACTTAAGACACAGATAAATGAAAAAGAGGAGTGTCATATCAAGCAGAGGGGAGAGAGTTGGTGTACCTTGGTAGTGAGGTCCTGCTCGCTGGGGAGAGTTTCTCTGAGAGCACGGAGGCCATGTTGGACCAGATCATTCAAATTACCTGACAACAAAACAATACGTTCTTATTTCCACGGGTCAATGAAGCAGCAGTGGAGGTCACTGTTTGGTGCTGTGACTATTCATCCTACTGTGAACTGTGTAATTGCTTAATGAGATCTGTGAGAACACGGATGAGGTGATGACCAAAATATTTGAAGATTTCCATAACTGTCTCACATATGACACTATAATTACAGTGTTTCCTCTAGGATTTCTTTTAGCAGTGGGGGCAGGCCCGTCCGAACAACGTTTTGACAATAAGCTACATCAACACAACAGTATGTGGAGTTAAACTGGACAGCCCCAATAACCTCTGAATAGTTCTACTTGTTAAATTGCAATGTGAGCGGCAGCCAACAGGGGTGCATTGTGTCGGCAGGATCATTTAAAAGGCAACCGTGACTACATTGTGCGTCTGCCCCATTTCTGATACCGTGGCGGCAGAAATTTAACAATAGCGGGCCGCCGCTCCAAAATCAGCATAGAGGAAACACTGCATTAGGATATGAAAAATACAGTAAAAACTGAATAAAATCTGACCAATAAAGATGCAAAAACATTCATGTTCAGTTGGTAAATAAGCAGTTGGCACTAAGCGGTAAGTGGAAACATGTTCTTAATTTGAGGGAACAATGTTAGTAAAAGAAATTTAATCTTACAGTCAGCAAACTTGTCCATGCATCTCTCCAGGTAGGTGCGTGCAGACTGAGAACGTGCTCCGATGGACATGGCTTTACAGTCGAAGTAGTTTGCTGATGGGCAGGTCTGGAAGATGTGAGGTCCCATGTCCTGGGCAACAAATTAACAAGAGCTATGGTGAGTTTTTAAATTGCCAATCTGTATGACATTTATTATTTCACAAACGACTAAGAATTTAAGCAAAAATATTATAGATAATTAAAAAGTACTAAGATATTTGAGTAAGCAAACTTACATCATAGCCAGCAATGAGAAGGCCGACACCATAGGGCCTCCTTCCATACCTCTGTGTCGGAATTTGGGTTTCTGAAGGTTCAGTTAAGGCTCAATGTGGCCATTCACAATTATTTTACTTCACAGAATAAACATTTATTGACAAACCAGGTCAATAAACCACTGATCTCTCTCTCTCTCTCTCTCTCTCTCTCTCTCTCACACACACACACAAAAAGCATCACATTGTTACTAAGGAGCTTCAAGCTGACAGTAGTGAGGATACTGCTGCCGATAAGAGACACGAGCCGTGACGTGGGGAGGGGCCTGTCAAAGACAAATCTTGAGTCCAAGCACTCCTGACGCATGAAGTTACTGTGGGAGAGAGGGTATTAGTATAATTTCAGGCTATTTGAGAATTCACAAGTTCACTGAAAAACTTTATTTGGCACCGTCAAGGCAGCTGTGACCTACCAGAGCAGTCTGGCATCAGCTGTCAGTCCAGCAATGGAGATTCCGATGTGGTTGTCGACATGGAGGATCTTCTTCTGGTGGGCAGCCAATTCAGATTGGGCTCTCTGCCGAGACACGACAACATGCAATTATACTCGATCCAATACCTGTGTTCACATGTCATTATTTATCTGCTACATGCTTTGTTATATATAATGTTTTTAATGTAACATTAAATGGCAGAGATTCTAAATTTCTTCCATGATTTCCAAACAGAAAAAAGTATTGACTTGACATCCGGAGGAAGCAGATCTTTATACCTGATGAAGGTTTTTTTTTCTCAAACCATTCAATATAATTGCAGATGTTCCGTTAACATCTTTCCTTCCAGATATCAATTCCTATACCTGAACTTTGCGTATCAGCTGACACTGAGTACCGATCTGTGTTAAAAAATATTTATACAATTGTATGTGAAAGTCTATGCAACCCTTGACAAATAACATATTTTGGTGTTTTTTTATATTGAAAATACGTAACAACAGCCTTTCCAATATAGGGAACATAAAACAATATTTTCAGTGAACATTAATGCATAGTTACATTATGTCATAAATTGAACAAAAATAATAAAATAGCTGGATATAATTTGTAGTGTTTTAAAATATAAATGGAGGGTGGTGATAAGTGAGTTAATTGCTACTCATGACATGACATGACATGAAAACAAATGACAAAGGAGCTGCTGCTGGGGAGTAGCAGGGTCCAGTTTCCGGGCTAATGAATTACTTGGTATCGGATCATGCACAGATGGCACAGGCAGTAGCTGTGGCATTTCCGATACTGGTATCAGAACACCTTTAAATATAATAATGTAAAACATTTTTAAAAAGGGAGCTTTGTACTGTGTTGCAGATTTTAGCGAAGCCTCATATATTGCATGAATGTACCTTCAGTGCCACCAGGACTGCATTGGTTCTGGATTTGAGTCCCACAGTTGCAGAACCTTGCTTCACAGCCTCCATGGCATACTCGATCTGATGAATACGGCCCTGGATCAACATGAACATGAATAATTATGTTACACACATTTACTTTCTTTGTGTGGTCAGAGAGAGACAGAGGTAAAGGCAAACAGCGACTTACCTGTGGGCTCCATACTGTCACATCGTTGTCGTACTGGTTGCGAAACTGAAGATAAAAACAACACACTGAAAGTTAATGGTCTTCAAAAATACACTAGGATTATTATATAGCTAAATAAACTAGCAGCTGAGCTTACATAGTTGTCTTGCATTGTCACCGGCTTTCCCCAGTTAGACTATCTCTCTACACAACACAGTTCACAGCCAACAGCCTGGACCTTTCTACACTGTGCTCTTAAATTACTGCCTCGGCTGAATAATTGATTATTGTAGCTTTGCGTACAGCCACTTACCAAAGACAATCATACAACCGAGTCCCAACATCATCACACTACTACTCTTCCTCCTCCTCCTCCTCCTCCGGTAATAATATAAATGAGTCCTGCGGAAAGCTAGCTTACATTAGCTGGATAAAATGCCGACTGTACGTAAGTTGGCAGAATCATTACAGTGAGTGTTTTTATAAATGTTGGCTCGTAGGTATCACTTATTAGCCTGAACCCAAAGGCCGGTGAGCTCTGACAAAACGAAAGTAAAAGACACGATACCTCAATTTGTTGCTAACTCACACTGGTGGCTAACGTCTGCTAGCTACTCTGCGTTAGCCTGCCAGCTATCGAACCGGCGAACTGATTATTAATTACGATTACGTTATTTGGCGCTAAATGAACGTCACCCAGGTTACTTATACACCTCGCCCAATTGTACAGCATCCGAAAAACATGAGCAGTGAACCGTTTCTCTGACCGGCCGCCATGTATCCGAGCAGCTAACGCTAGCAGCCACTGACGCTGTTTTGCTTACTCACAGTGCAGTCAGAAGGTGGCTAGCTAACGTTAGCTTGGTGGGAGTAAATGCAGCCAGTGTTTAAGGTTTCCTTATAAAGTATATACTACATGAGGACGCAGTGCGAGTTGTTTGCTGTACAGACATATTATAAATTGTTACATTTCATTCAGAGTTACCATATCTGCTGTTTGAACGCGTCTCCTCCGCCTGTGATGGGATCCTTCCTAATTTGATTTATTTTCCTGGAAGCGACGTCAGGGAAACTAGCAGAAGCCCGATTACAAATCAGTGATCGATTGAGTACAGTCTGGGCTTGCTACAAACCTACAAAACCAATCTTATCACGATTTTTAAAAATTTGTTCACATTTATTAAAAAAAACAACAACAACAAAAAAAAACCTGATTAATCAGAAATATTAATTCTATCGATACCGAATGCAAAAAACTAAACTATACATTTATTCATTCACTGATATTCACGTCAGATAAAAGTCATATGCAGCAATGATTTTGTAATTTAAAATGTGTATACTGTGAGGAATTATTTAGATGTTATTTATTAATAAAGAAGTGTGGCAGTAGTTTCGACATTTCCTTTAAAGTCAGGAATTTGTGTTCAATTCCCAACCCAATCAAAACGGGGACTATAATTTAAGCAGTATTTAAAATTCCGTGTTCATTATTGGGGGGAACAGGAACTAAAGTGCAGCTTCAGGTCCTTTTCTCGCTCAATCTGTTCATTCTTGCTTATTTTCTGCACTGGACTCACAGGCGCAGTGTTTGTGCATGAACACTGGGCGGCAGCAACAAATTAGAAGACACTGGGTTCAGCTTTCGTTTGTGGAGATGGACTAACAAAACACGTTTCTGTAGCAGAAACACATACAAAGTTCCGGCAGAAAGATGAACAAGTTGTCTCGTAGATGACAATGGTGGATGTTTTATGCTTGTTTGTAGATGTCTTTCTTCGTGTCAATTATGGAGAACTCCAGACGGCCAGACTGTTTCCTTGGTTCACTGAACTGATGCAGGTCCATGCTCACTAACTGAATTTTGTTCGGTTTAGTTCAAATTTAAAGTTTATGTTGTTATTTGAATTTATACACCAACACAGTGAAACAGACTCTTTTCTTGTGGTCATTACTCAGAAAACCTTAATGCATCAGTTGGAGGTTAAATTACTGGCGCACAAAATAAAATACGCAACAATAAATTCAACTTTATTGTGATTCCAACAGACATTTTTGTAGAGTGTGATTTAATGTCCTCCTTCTTATATGTCAAAGAAGCTAAATAATTCAGTAATTGAATATACTGATAGAAAGATAAATAATCAATACAAGCAATCATGTAGTCAAAATAACATTTGTGAAAAGGCAAAAGCATGTTATGAAATGAAGGCAATAGCAGTTCATGTGCTGTCTGCTCCTTTAAAAGTAAATACCACCCATTTTAATAATTCACATATGTTATTTCTGTGCCACAGAACACTTCAGTCAATACTTCTCATCCACTGAGCTTTTCTGAAAGCTATAAACTGGAGAATGAACACATGACCTTTAAACTGGAGTCCAAGATCTGGCTTGCCTCCATAGACAACAAACTGGACTGCGTTGAGGTCTCGAACCAAAATATGCTTTCAAAATGGGTTTATATACAGTGAACTGTCTAGAATATTAATTATATGATGGCTCGACAGTTCGACAAAGTCAGCAGCTTATTTATTATCAATGAAGCAGCTTCTCCTGCCACTTTGAATCACAGATGCACAGAGTCTCTTCCTGATTTCCGTCTTTAGGAAAAGTTCAGAGAAACTGACTGAACTGTCTGCCCACTGAAATTCAACATTAGTTCTTTAAACGACAGCATTCCCCTTCAGATTTTCCAGGTGCATTATGAAACAGTTCAGATGATTTTTTTGCTGGCTTCACCTAAACAACTGAACCTATAAATTTATATAATGCCTTAAAAGTGAGTCGTCTTTATAAGTTTTGTCAAGTTTTATGAGGATGATTAACATATTTCAACCAGTAGCAACCTGCATTTTTTGCAGGTTTTGTACTTTTCTCTATAATTACTTAAAAACACAAAAGAATCAAGACTGTGAATGGATGTATCTTTTTAGAAAACAGCAAGAGTGCTATTATGATTTAAAAATGGCAGATAATAGTTAAGTATTGTAGTGTAATGTGACTAATATACTGTACACCTACTAATGAGTAACAGCATTAAGTCCCACATAAAGAATTGTTCACTTACACGTAAAAGCCAGTAAATGCTTGATACAGTACAATTAGCTGATTATATTTCTGTGCTTATTCAGGTAAACCTTTAAATTCAGGACTTATTGTGTTTTGACAACATTTCTTCTTTTACTTAAATTAAAGATCTGAAAGCTTCTTCCACCACTGCTGAGTCCTTATTCTAAAAGGACAGTGGATGGATGAGCTGTTACAGGTAAAATTGGAATAATAAAAAACATTTCCCCTAATAGTTTCATTGTTGTCTCGTTTAGTTTTTCTGCCTTTTGAAGGGGGAAATTATACAATTGTGGAACAGCTCTACAGGTGAACAGATGCTGACGTGTACTGTTACTCTCATCCTAACACATGCATGCATACTGTCCATTCTCTGTGGCTCAACAAATCCCAGGCTATCATGATTTCTAGAAGTATTCTTTTATTTCTCAAAGGATTCGGTCACTTCTCATGCTGCGTGTCTCTGCAGCCGGAGAAATGGCCACTTATAGCCTCATCCTCTCCACGTCCAGCTCTGTGTCTGGTTTTAAGCTTAAGCCTTTTTTCCTCTGTTAATGATATCTGATGTACCCTTGATCCAGGAGGAGGGGAGGGTGGGGGGGATGAATTAGTAGGGCTGTGCTGACGAGCCCTCCTCCTCTGCCAAGGCAGCGGCAGCACGATGGCGGCCATTACATCAGCGCGCCAACCTCCTCCTTTGTGATTGAGATTGTAGGAGCTGTGCTGAGCTCAGCATGTTTTTTTTCCTGGGGGCCTCATTTAACTCTGCCAAACGGCCCCCCATTTAATTTTTCAAATGGAGAGCAGCCTGAGTCACTGTGTGATGGTTCCAAGCCACACTGTGGACTCTGCACTCACACGTGGTGGCGGGGGAGAGGGAGGCGGAGGTGTTTTAAGGAGTAGAAGAGAGTGTGAGTGCGCCAATTCCTCTACCCATTCATGGTTTTCAGTTTGTTTTAATCACATGGGGAAAGAGTTAACTTCTGTTGTTAACACAATAACACAACTTATCTCTGATTGAGATCTAATTCCTTTGTTTCTTTATATGCCTATTTTTATATGAGATTCTTTATTTCTTTTACTTTGGTGTAACTTATACCTGAGCTACAGGCCGCCACTTCTTCATGAATGATGGCAACATGAAGCAGCGTACAGCCAAGCATAACTTTACTTAATACGGAATTCATTTTGCATCCTGAGTGGCTAAATGTTCCACAACTCCCATCCCCTTGTTGCTTAAAATAGGTCAGCGATGTGTTTTAGCTTGGAAAATGACTGGTCTAATGGGCTGAAAAAAGGTGGCAGCTCTGCCAAGGTTGCATTAAGCTGGCAGCTATCCTATAACACGGCGGGTCGGGGGTCACCAGCCGCACAGCAAACGAAGGAAAGCCATCTCAGCCCCTCCCCTCCGTAAGTTTTAGGAGTCTGAATATCGTATGTCATCATTGACGTTAACATTCCCTACAGCAAACGCCAGAGCATAAGTGTGAGGGAAGAGGTGAGGTGGGAGTCTTGCAGAGATTCTGTTCGCTGCCATCAGTTTCCTGGTGTTGACGAAAGCGCTTATGCAGCATTTCAGGAGCAAATGGCTGAAGAGGCTTTTGCTGGCTAAAAAAAAAACATTGTGGGGCACTTAATAATATCTGCAGCTAGATAGATAGTCTCTTTGCTCACTCTATGAACCTAGCTAATAAGTATCAGACCACACAGGCTTTTTCATAAATTACATACACACCTTATCTGGCGTAAATATGTCAGAAACTGGTTCACTTTAAACCACCTGATGCCAGCAAGCATTGCATACACACATACATACTGGCTTCTGAGTCATTAAAATGTCGGCTAACAGTAATCAGGTTGCTGTGAAAAGTGATGGAGTAATACTCTTCACTGTGAGAAGGAAATGCAGTCCTGGAAGAAGCTGATTTCAGTCATTATGTTAACAGTGATTGCAATTTTCCTATCCATCATATTCATTGTTTTAATGCCAGGAAATGCACCCACACCAGTGCCGCAGTACCAGTATCCATCATTTTAATGTTCTGACGGCATCTGACCACAGCTCACAAAGAAGGAGTTTAAAAGTTTTAGGAGATTACACTGGTGCTAGAACGGTTAACGTTTATAATGATAATTAAAAAAAATTATAATTCAGGTGAAAGACTGGAACATGAGTATATTCCCAGACAATGATCAAATTTGCTCTGGTGAAGCACCAATAAGAAGTTTAACTCTGCTTGCTGCTCCTGCAGTTTGGCCTCTGAGATCTGAGGGAATCCCTTTGCCATTCAGTATTGTATCTGTAAAACTGAGCTTTCTCTAAGTGGTGTTAGGATTTATCTCTTGAAGACTCCACTCAGACTCACACACTTTGTTGGTTATTACAGTAGACTGTGTAAGGTCAAGTGTAGTACAGATTTCCTCCTGTCAGCGGCCTTGGCTCTCTAAAGGAAATTCCATTTAACCTTTCTTTATTTTTCATCCAATGTATTTCTATTTGGATCTTAGAATCTCATCTCTTAGAGTCTAAAACTAACACCAATTTCCATCACCCATGTCTGTTAGTCTGTTAGTCTTATGTTAGTCTGTTATATGCTAACATTCTAACATGCTCAATGTAAAATGATAATGAAAGGTTACATTAAGATATATAAGGTACATAGGTTATAAGGATAACAAGCTAAACATGCCGAACATTAGCATCTTACCATCCGAATGCTGTGAACCTCTACTATATGCTAACATGGTAATATTAGCATTCAGATCAAACCAGAGCTGAGGTACATCATAGACTGTAAAGCCTTAAAAGAGTACTTCACTGATTTAGTGTTGCACCCTGCATGACGGACAGTTAAAGTCAGAACCAGAGATATCTTTTTATTCCACACATTCTTCTTCTTCCTTGATGAAACATGGCACCTTCATTATTCAAATTACAACTCCACCTGTGACATTTAGGTTGGCTATTTGGGTGTGTTATGCTAGTAGCAGTTTATGTAACCTCGAGCCACTGGCCTCATGCA